ACCATCAAATTACAGAACGAAAAACGTTTTTTTTTTTGATTTTCGATTGAAAAACTGTTCGGAATTCGACCCATGTATGGTCTGCTTTACTCATTGGGGAGATTTACTAAAACTGGAGAGTGCAAAATCTAGCGCAGCTGCGCATAGAAACCAATCAGCTTCCATCTCTTTTTTTTGTCGAAGTTTTTTTGTTCGAGTTTATTTGAACAAACTGAAGATCAGGGGCAGACTGACAACTCATGGGGCCCCCGGGCGATAGGGGATCATGGGGCCCCTGTGTCCTTGTCCAAACTCAAAAAAGCCTATGAAAAAGGTACCAGGGGCAACTCATGGGGTCCCCTACTGACACCGGGCCCTCAGGCAGTGCCTGAGTTTGCAAATGGTCAGTCCGCCCCTGCTGAAGATAGAAGCTGATTGGCTCCCATGCACAGCCGCAACAGATTTTGCACCCTCCAGTTAAATCAACCCCATTGACTGACTCGTGTTACTTGGTGCCTACAGGTGTTTCTTTTTTTTTTTTTGCATTTATGAAAATCCACATCCAGCCAATAAGAGCCAACGGTTTTGGCATAGATGGTGAATAGAACATGGACCAGCCTAGCGCCCCCCGCAGTAAATGGTGTGAAAGTACACGCAGTTTCAGCTGTAAGTTGCAGATCCTGGGCTGTAATGGGACACAGACTGTGTGGATGGAAGGTTAACAATGGTGTCGGCCACCCAGCATGACAGTTTTGTGCCCAGCAAATAACATGATCTGGCAAACTGTGGCCAAGTCTTTGGACGCCATAAGGCAAGGCTGTGGGGTACACACATAGGAGCCATCCGTCAACAGGCAGAATTAGACACGCCGTCCCCTGTACTCTGCTGGAGGTCAGTAGAAACCTGGATTTCCACCGTGGCTTCCAACTGCTTCCATTTGGAATCCCTCTGTCCCCAATTCATCCTCACTTGTCCTTCTTTTTGGTCTGATGTGTAGATTTCTGTACAGACAAAAAAGGTAACGAAAATATAAAACAACCAAAAAACAAAACATAAACATGTATAAACAAAAAACAAAAAAACCAAACAGACAATAAGGTAACGAAAATATAAAACAACCAAAAAACAAAACATAAACATGTATAAACAAAAAACAAAAAAACCAAACAGACAATAAGGTAACGAAAATATAAAACAACCAAAAAACATAAACATGTATAAACAAAAAAACAAAAAAACCAAACAGACAATAAGGTAACGAAAATATAAAAACAACCAAAAAACAAAACATAAACATGTATAAACAAAAAACAAATAGACAAAAAGGTAACAAACTATAAAACAACCAAATGACAAAAACATAAACATATATGAACAACAAAAGCAAAAAGAGCAGACTCGATGGACCACTTGGTCTTTTTTCTGCTGTTTTATTAAGTGTTCTTGGATGGCAAAAAAACACATATCTCACATATATATTCTTATTATTATAGCCACATTTACCCCCCTAACTCCTCCCACAGTTTTTACACTACATAGACAGTAATATACCGAAACGTGCGGATTGTTCCCGATTGGTGTGCTATTACTTTGTGGAACGTTTCGCCGAATGGTTCACGAAATATCGCCATTTTTGTGGTGAAATTGGTCCCATAGGAATGAATGGCGGAATGTTCAAAACTAGAGTGGGAGTGGGATGTGATTTCTAAACTGCCATCACTCCCTCATTTTCAAGCCCACCTACACAAATCTTATATCAAAACGTTCAGCTATCCCTGCTGCCACAAAAAATATCCACGGCTAAGCCATAGTCCTGATAGTTTTCACAATATGACCATTGGTTTGCAACTCACGCCGCCCATTGACATTCATTGAAACTCCACTCTAGCCACCTCAAATTTGATGGGCAATTTCTAAACTGCGACTGTGCCTTCATTGTTAATATTTCAGAGACATACTATGCATCAAAATGTAGGTCTGGGTCTTGTGATTCTCACAATATAAAGCTCTTTGCTGTAGGATTTATAATTTTTAAACTACAACCGTTTGAAGATGGCAACTGCCAGTGAAGTGAGCAAGTTGGAGCAGTTTGTTTTTAACCGCTCTTCTCTGCCCTTGCTGTAGAGTGAGTTGCCATAGGAACGCAGGTGTGTGAGCAGGCAGCAGACTGCAAGCCACTCCACCCAGTTACTCCGCCCCACTCCAGTTGTAGACTATTGGTGGAAGCAAGAACACTTCACACAATTTCCCCAGAAATTGGAGCTTTTCTTATTATTATTCTTATTATTATACAGGATTTATTATTATTGTTATTATTATTATTATACAGGATTTATGGCACCAACAGTTTGCTCAGCGCTTTACAATATAACAGGAGACAATACAGCAACAATACAGTTCAATACAAGAGGGATAGGAGGGCCTGATCCTAGGAGCTTACAATCTAAGATATTATAAAAAGTATAAAATGGTTAGCACTTCCACCTGGCAGTACTAGGGTCGTTGGTTCAAATCCCAACCATGGCACCACCTGCCTGGCATTTGCATGTTCTCCCTGTGCCTGTGTGGGTTTCCTCCGGGTACTCCGGTTTCCTCCCACACTCCAAAGACATGCTGGTATGTTAATTGGCTCCTGTCTATATTGGCCCTAGTATGTGTATGTATGAATGTGAGTTAGGGACCTTAGATTGTACACCCCTTGAGGGTTAGGGACTGATGTGAATGTACAAAATATATGTAAAGTGCTGCGTAAATTGATGGCGCTATATAAGTACCTGAAATAAATAAATAAATACAATGTAACTACTGAAAGTTTAATACTTGGCTTCCAGTTGTCATCCAGTTATTATAATAAGTGTTATATTTCAAATGTTTATATTTGAAGTCCCCGGTCGCACAGATCCTTCTTTGAAATCATGCGACTTCCAATGATGTCATTCCGACTTGACTTGCAAGACATCTGCAGCCTGCAAGACACAAATGTCTATGCAAGTCGCACCTGAAGCAGTGCATAGTATAGAAGTTGGTGCGGCTCCGACCAAGTCAGGATCACAACGATATCACCACTTTAAGTCCTCATGACACGGGACATTCTTACAGCGGCTGTTTTTGGCTTTTGATGTTTTTTTTCTACAGCCAGTAAATCCCCCAGCATGTTCTCCTACGTGTCCATCCCCGGCATGTTCTCCTACGTGTCCATCCCCGGCATGTTCTCCTACGTGTCCATCCCCGGCATGTTCTCCTACGTGTCCATCCCCGGCATGTTCTCCTACGTGTCCATCCCCGGCATGTTCTCCTACGTGTCCATCCCCGGCATGTTCTCCTATGTGTCCATCCCCGGCATGTTATCCTGTGTGTGTCCATCCCCAGCATGTTCTCCTACATGTCCATCCCCGGCATGTTATCCTATGTGTCCATCCCCGGCATGTTATCCTATGTGTCCATCCCCGGCATGTTCTCCTGCGTGTCCATCCCCGGCATGTTATCCTATGTGTCCATCCCCGGCATGTTCTCCTATGTGTCCATCCCCGGCATGTTCTCCTACGTGTCCATCCCCCGGCATGTTATCCTACGTGTCCATCCCCGGCATGTTATCCTACGTGTCCATCCCCGACATGTTATCCTACGTGTCCATCCCGACATGTTCTCCTACGTGTCCATCCCCGGCATGTTCTCCTACGTGTCCATCCCCGGCATGTTCTCCTACGTGTCCATCCCCGGCATGTTCTCCTACGTGTCCATCCCCGGCATGTTCTCCTACGTGTCCATCCCCGGCATGTTCTCCTACGTGTCCATCCCCGGCATGTTCTCCTACGTGTCCATCCCCGGCATGTTCTCCTACGTGTCCATCCCCGGCATGTTCTCCTACGTGTCCATCCCCGGCATGTTCTCCTACGTGTCCATCCCCGGCATGTTCTCCTACGTGTCCATCCCCGGCATGTTCTCCTACGTGTCCATCCCCGGCATGTTCTCCTACGTGTCCATCCCCGGCATGTTCTCCTACGTGTCCATCCCCGGCATGTTCTCCTATGTGTCCATCCCCGGCATGTTATCCTGTGTGTGTCCATCCCCAGCATGTTCTCCTACATGTCCATCCCCGGCATGTTATCCTATGTGTCCATCCCCGGCATGTTATCCTATGTGTCCATCCCCGGCATGTTCTCCTGCGTGTCCATCCCCGGCATGTTATCCTATGTGTCCATCCCCGGCATGTTCTCCTATGTGTCCATCCCCGGCATGTTCTCCTACGTGTCCATCCCCGGCATGTTATCCTACGTGTCCATCCCCGGCATGTTATCCTACGTGTCCATCCCCGACATGTTATCCTACGTGTCCATCCCCGACATGTTCTCCTACGTGTCCATCCCCGGCATGTTCTCCTACGTGTCCATCCCCGGCATGTTCTCCTACGTGTCCATCCCCGGCATGTTCTCCTACGTGTCCATCCCCGGCATGTTCTCCTACGTGTCCATCCCCGGCATGTTCTCCTACGTGTCCATCCCCGGCATGTTCTCCTACGTGTCCATCCCCGGCATGTTCTCCTACGTGTCCATCCCCGGCATGTTCTCCTACGTGTCCATCCCCGGCATGTTCTCCTACGTGTCCATCCCCGGCATGTTCTCCTACGTGTCCATCCCCGGCATGTTCTCCTACGTGTCCATCCCCGGCATGTTCTCCTACGTGTCCATCCCCGGCATGTTCTCCTACGTGTCCATCCCCGGCATGTTCTCCTATGTGTCCATCCCCGGCATGTTATCCTGTGTGTGTCCATCCCCGGCATGTTATCCTACGTGTCCATCCCCAGCATGTTCTCCTACATGTCCATCCCCGGCATGTTATCCTACGTGTCCATCCCCGGCATGTTATCCTACGTGTCCATCCCCGGCATGTTCTCCTACGTGTCCATCCCCGGCATGTTCTCCTACGTGTCCATCCCCGGCATGTTCTCCTACGTGTCCATCCCCGGCATGTTCTCCTACGTGTCCATCCCCGGCATGTTATCCTACGTGTCCATCCCCGGCATGTTATCCTACGTGTCCATCCCCGGCATGTTATCCTACGTGTCCATCCCCGGCATGTTATCCTACGTGTCCATCCCCGGCATGTTATCCTACGTGTCCATCCCCGGCATGTTATCCTACGTGTCCATCCCCGGCATGTTATCCTGTGTGTCCATCCCCGGCATGTTATCCTGTGTGTCCATCCCCGGCATGTTATCCTACGTGTCCATCCCCGGCATGTTATCCTATGTGTCCATCCCCGGCATGTTATCCTATGTGTCCATCCCCGGCATGTTATCCTATGTGTCCATCCCCGGCATGTTATCCTATGTGTCCATCCCCGGCATGTTATCCTACGTGTCCATCCCCGGCATGTTCTCCTACGTGTCCATCCCCGGCATGTTATCCTATGTGTCCATCCCCGGCATGTTCTCCTATGTGTCCATCCCCGGCATGTTCTCCTATGTGTCCCATCCCCGGCATGTTCTCCTATGTGTCCATCCCCGGCATGTTATCCTGTGTGTGTCCATCCCCAGCATGTTATCCTGTGTGTGTCCATCCCCGGCATGTTATCCTATGTGTCCATCCCCGGCATGTTATCCTATGTGTTCATACACACACAGACTGGAATCAATGTTTTTTGGCTGGAAAAAACCCTGGACTAGTGGGCTTCTACAGGAGTTTTTTTAGCTGTAAAAAATGCTCTAACGCTGTAAAAACGTGGTAAAACGCCACAAACTGGAGTTTTTGGATGTTTCATGACCAAAAAATTTTTTTTTTTTTGGTCAAAAAATGCTGAAAAACACGGGAAACAGCTGCTAAACGCTAATGCAAGAACGCTAAAAAAAGGCTGAAAAATGTTTTTAAAGTGGCTTTACACAGCGAACGTTACCAGCTTTCTCAAAACGTCCCGTGTGTGAGGACTTGGTCCTTTTACATTTAGTTGTAAATGCATTCCAAAAATGTAGATTTGTATTTTTAAAGACATACAGCATATTTAACCACCTTCCCCCGCCCTATAGTACAATGACAGGCGCAAGGTGGTTCTCTCATTCTGATAGGACGTCATATGACGTCCTACCATTCTCACTGAGCATGCGTGGCTCACGGAGCGTGCAGCTCGCCGGCGCGCTGTGTCCCTCGGACAAAGCAGATCACGGAAAAGAGCCAAAGATGATGGCTCGGTCATGTGATCAGCTGTGTCCAATCCAATGTAAACACGGAAATGCCGGTTATCGGCATTTTTCTCTCCTCTCGAGCTGTCACGCTGACATAGGAGAGGAGAGCCGGTAAATCGGCTTTCCGCGGAGGGGACATGTATAATGATCATCAGGGCACTGATGATCAGTGTGGCCCCAGAAGTGCCACCTGTCAGTGCTCATCAGTGCCACATCAATGCCACATATCAGTGCATACCGGTGCACATCAATAACACATATCAGTGCCCATCTGAGCTGCCTTTCAATGTCACCCATCAGTGCCAGTCAATGCCACCTATCAATGCCAATCAGTGTCACCTATCAATGCCAGTCAGTGTCGCCTATCAGTGCACATCAGTGCCAGTCAGTGCTGCCTATCAGTGCCAGTCAGTGCCGCCTATCAGTGCCATACAGGGGCAGACTGAAAACTCATGGGGCCCCTGTGTCCTTGCCCAAACTCAAAAAAAGCCTATGAAAAAGGTACCAGGGGCATTTCATGGGGCCCCCTACTGACCCCGGGCCCTCGGGCAGTGCCCCGAGTTTCCAAATGGTCAGTCCGCCCCTGGGTGCGACTTGTCATGTGACTTTGGACCCCAAAGTGTGAATGGGCTCTTAGTTCTACTTTACTGTTGCCCTGTAACCAGGGGCGGACTGACAACTCATAGGGCCCCCAGACAATAGGGGATCATGGGGCCCCTGTGTCCTCGCCCACACTCCCAAAAAAGCCTATGAAAGTTACCAGGGCATCTCATGGGGCCCCCTACTGACCCCGGGCCCTCGGGCAGTGCCCGAGAGTCTGAATGGTCAGTCCGCCCCTGCCTGTAACTGTACATACATGCATAGTCACAGGAAGGTCAACATCTGGGTAAGCTGACATTGCTATTGAAAGGCGTCACGCTCATTTAATAGCTGGGAGCTGTCTTTGGGGGCCCCGGAGGGCCCCTTTAATGTTTGGAGAAGGGATTTGTCAGGCATTCCTTAGAGATGGAAAAGCCGGAAATTCTTATCAATTGTCGGGACAACAGGCAACTCTGCGACCGATGATTTCCATGCCCCGTGCACCCCGGATTAATGGGCATTAGGGATGATTTGGAAATTCACGCCCCCGCATGTTACAGAGCGATAGGAATTTCCGATCTCCCGGCTCTCCTGATTTAGCCGTCCGGCGCTGAGCCACTGACAGCTGAAACGCGAGGACGCTCAACTTTTATGGCAAGCGCCGGTCCCAGCGGAAACCGTGAAACGTTCCATTAAACTGCTTCCTTTTATCAAATGTAAATTGTTCTGTGTGTGTCTAATGGGAGACATGTGTATAGACATGGGGAGCACAAGCAACTAAAAGCGTATGTGCAAAAAAACAAAACTGCATGCAGTATATGCAGGCCATCTCTGCAAAACATGCCCATGCGGTCCTGCGTTCAGTCGCTTTTTCCAGTGCAGCAGATTGCAACAAGAACCGCCGCGTCACAACGCCGCTCTGGTGAATAAAACTTTATTGAAATGTCGCTTGTGATGTCAATAAAGTGACAAAAAGGGCTGCCATGTATGGCCGGTCTAAGGTTCTGTTGCAGTTTGCTTTTTGTCTATTTTGCAGTGCTTTTCTCAGTTCGTTTTGTGTTTTTTCTACTCACGGTTTATTTTTTTAGCTTTTTTTTTAGCTTTTTTTTTTTTAGCTTTATTTTAGCTTTTTTCTCTTTTTTTAGCTTTTTATTAGCTTTTTTTTTTTTTTTTTATTATTGAAATGTCACTTGTGATGTCAATAAAGTTCTGTGACATAAAGGGCTGCGGCATCACCGAAACCGCCTCTCTACCGTCTTCAATCATAGAACACTTAAACTAAGCGTTCTCTAAAGCAGGCCATACATGGGTTGAATTCCGAACAATTTTTCGATTGAAAACGTCGTTCTGTAATCTCATGGTGCCACCACTGATTTCGAAAATCGGTCTTTTTCACAAATTTTCCAACATGCCTGATAAACGAAATGGGGAGGAACTACGAAAATCGGCCGTTCGAAAACATGTGAGTGTGGGCGCGTTAGTTGGGCCCATTGGCCCCACTAACAGAGCGAAAATTGATTGATTATTCTTGGGTCAAATTCTTGAACGAAAAATCAGAAATCGACCCATGTATGGCCAGCCTAAGGCTCAGTTCACACCTGTGCAGTTTGCTTTTTGTCCGTTTTGCAGTGCTTTTCGCAGTTCGTTTTTCATCTTTCTACACACGTTTTTTTCTGCGATTATTCGGTTTTTTTTCCAGCTTGTTTTTTTTTACTTTATTGAAATGTCACTTGTGATCTCAATAAAGTTCTGTGACATAAAGGGCTGCGGCGTCACCGGAACTGCCTCTCTACCGTCTTCAGAGAACACTTTGCATACCTTGAGAGAAAAACTAAGCGTCCTCTAAAACAGGCCATACATGGGTCGAATTCCGAACGATTTTTCGATCGAAAACGTCATTTGTTATTTAATTGGTTGGTGCCACTATTGATTTAGAAAATCGGTCGTTGTTCACGAATTTTCCAACATGCCTGATAAACGAAATGGGAGGAACCACGAAACTTGGCCGGTGCCATTGCCCCACTAATAGAGCGAAAATTGATTGATTATTCTAGGGTCCAATTTTCGAACCAAAAATCGTTTGGAAATCGACCCATGTATGGCCGGCCTAAAGCTCCGTTCACACCTATGCTGTTTGCTATTTGTCCGTTTTGCAGTGCTTTTCGCAGTTCGTTTTGCATTTTTTTTTTTTATACTCGCGTTTTATTCTTTTTTTAGCGCTTTTTTTTTTTTAGCGTTTTTTTTGACTATTGAAATGTCACTTGTGATGTCAATAAAGTTTTGTGACAAAAATGGCTGCGGCGTCACCAGAACCGCCTCTCTACCCGTCTTCAATCAGAAAACACTTTGCATGCCTTGAGAGAAAAACTAAGCGTTCTCTAAAACAGGCCATACATGGGTCGAATTCCGAATTATTTTTCGATCGAAAAGGTTGTTCATTCTGTAATCCGATGGTGCCACTAATGATTTCAAAAATCGGACGTTTTTCACAAATTTTCCAACATGCCCAATAAACGAAATAGGAGTAACCATGAAAATTGACTGGTGCCATTGCCCCACTAACAGAGCGAAAATTGATAGATTATTCTAGGGTCCAATTTGCGAATGAAAAATCGTTTGGAAATTGACCCATGTATGGCCGGCCTAAAGCTCCGTTCACACCTATGCTGTTTGTTTTTTTTCCTATTTTGCAGTGCTTTTCGCAGTTTGTTTTGCGTTTTTTTTCTACTCGCAGGTTTTTTTGGGGTTTTTTTTAGCTTTTTTTTTTACTATTGAAATGTCACTTGTGATGCCAATAAAGTTCTTTGACATAAAGGGCTGTGACATCACCGGAACCGCCTCTCTACCGTCTTCAATCAAAGAACACTTTGCATGCCTTGAGAGAAAAACTAAGCGTTCTCTAAAGCAGGCCATACATGGGTTGAATCCTGAACGATTTTTCGATCGAAAACGTCATTTGTTATTTAATTGGTTGGTGCCACTATTGATTTAGAAAATAGGTCGTTGTTCGCAAATTTTCCAACATGCCTGATAAACGAAATGGGAGGAACCACGAAAATTGGCTGGTACCATTGCCCCACTAACAGAGCGAAAATTGATCGATTATTCTAGGGTCCAATTTTCAAACCAAAAATCGTTTGGAAATTGACCCATGTATGGCCGGCCTAAAGCTCCGTTCACACCTATGCTGTTTGCTATTTGTCTGTTTTGCAGTGCTTTTCGCAGTTTGTTTTGCGTTTTTTTTTTTTTTTTTTTTTTATACTCGCGTTTTATTTTTTTTTTAGCGCTTTTTTTTTTTTGACTATTGAAATGTCACTTGTGATGTCAATAAAGTTTTGTGACAAAAAGGTGTGCGGCGTCACCGGAACCGCCTCTCTACCGTCTTCAATCACTGAACACTTTGCATGCCTTGAGAGAAAAACTAAGCGTTCTCTAAAACAGGCCATACATGGGTCGAATTCCGAACGATTTTTCGATCAAAAACGTCGTTCTGTAATCTGATGGTGCCACTAATGATTTCGAAAATCTGTGCCATTGCACCACTAACAGAGCGAAAATCAATCGATTATTCTTAGGTCCGATTTTCGAATGAAAAATAGTTGGGAAATCGACCCATGTATGGCCGGCCAAAGGCTCCATTCACACCTATGCAGTTTTGCTTTTTTGTCTGTTCTGCAGTGCTTTTTGAAGTTTGTTTTGCATTTTCTTTGAGATTGTGTGGTTGTTTTTTTTTTTTTTTTTTTTTTGGTTTTTTTTTGGAATTTTTTTTTTTTTGGAATTTTTTTTTGGAATTTTTTTTTTGGAATTTTTTTTGGAATATTCTTTTTTTTTGCTGGGCAGAAAAAAAATGCAAAACGCAAATCGGTGCAAAAACGCACTACCATGCATTTCAGCAGATTCTCCATTGAACTCTATTGTAGCAAAAACGCTGCTTTTTACCTTTAGCCCGGGTTCATACATATGTGGTGCGGCACATCGCATGTGATTTACACCAGAACCGCGCTGCATTCCTTGCGAATTGTGTGCGGTGCGATTGGAGCCGTACATTTTGTATGGCTCAAATCATTCCGCATCCGCACCAAAAAGGTGCAGGACTCTTTATTTTTTGGGTCCGCACCAGGGGGGTCGGACTGACAACTCATGGGGCCCCCGGGCAATAGGGGATCATGGGGCCCCTGTGTCCTTGCCCAAACTCAAAAAAGCTTATGAAAAAGGTACCAGGGGCATCTCATGGGGCCCCCTACTGATCCCGGGTCCTCGGGCAGTTTCCAAATGGTCAGTCTGCCCCGGGTCCGCACTAGAATCGGATCGCATGGGTATTCACACCTAGGTGATCCGATTCTGCACATCGCACCGCGTTTTGTGGACCGATTTCTGGGTGTCATTCAGTTAACGTACACACCCACAGCGGTTCGCATGAATGGGGTGCTATTCGGAATTGGCACAGAAAACGCTGAGAATTCCGCACCGCATCAGTGTGAACCCGGGCTAAAGAACGTGTTTAGTAGCCGTGCGATATCGTACTCGGATGCAGCAAGATACCGCGTAGTGAATTGTCCCTCTGGTCGAAGTTCGCGGTCGAACTTTCGTTCCGTTCGAATGATCAACTGCGAACCGAACAGGGGGGGCCCATCACTACTGAACATGTACGTTCCATTGAAAAGAAAATCTCTGATGCTGGGCCCACATTAAATCAGCAGTCTGTAAAAACAGATGAACATATTTTTTTGAAAGACTAAATAGATGAAAGGGAGATTAAAAAAAAAAAAATGTTCGCCTGGAGACGAGCTTTCCGCCCCGGAGTCTTCCCTCCCCAGCCGGATCCTCTGTACACCCGGCCCCTCTAACCTCCCTGCAGAAACTCTATACCAGCTCTGAGACCTGCGGAGCGTCGGCTCCTTCTACTCCGGGGACTGACACACAAACAGGATGCCGTGCTGCAATGTCAGCCCCGTCTGTTTCCAGAGAAATGTCATGGCTGGGCTTCTGCTTTTTACTATTTTTTGGCATTTTCTAACCCTAGCACCAGAGGCGGACTGACAACTCATGGGGCCCCTGGGCAATAGGGAAACATGGGGCCCCTGTGTCCTTGCCCTAACTCAAAAAAGCCTATGAAAAAGGTA